ATGAAAGAAGTGGAAGGAGATGAAAATAAGCGTGATGATGAAGAAATTTGAGAGAGATAAGGATTCGGATGAGATGCGCTCTACAATAGTTTTGTAAAAAAGATGCGTGAATATATAGAGAGGGAATTGAGTGTTTACCAGGTAAAAGTGTAAACGGTTAATTTGACTTTCCAATTCAATGAAAGGGAAAAATTGAGTAGACAGAAAAAGAGAAAGAAAAAGAATAAGAACTTTTCACTTCATCTTCCTGGGAAATTGTTATCGATGCTACTTCAGCTTCTCATGAACTAATACATAATGATAAGAATGAAGATGATTCTGTTTATATGTACATTGTAGTTTTCCAAGAAAAATGAATTGAACCAACTGAGAACGAACATCATATTCGATTATTAACTGAATTGGACTAAATCATCATCCATGTTTGGTCAATAGTTTTTACCAAACTTTTAGTTTTGCTTAGAGTGACCATTGGAAATTTTTTGTTCAACAAATAGTGTTCAATTGATTTATCTTACAATCGGCATGTTCATTAGCAACATCATCATGGTCATCGTGATATAGACATGAAATTGATTCAATCTTGGATTTCCAGTTGAAGAAAATATTTTATGTAAACTCTCATTTACTTTTGGAATTTTATTCGTTTGCTTCACAACTAATTTCTTTTGGCTCATTTCCTCTTCCGTTTAAATGGAATCCCTGTGGATTTTGTGAATGCTCTGTGGTTAATATTATCCTAGGAAAGTCTTTTCCTTTGTGATGTACTAATGTTTTATCTCTGGTGTTTATTAACGAATCCAGGATAACGCAATCGGATCAGCTGATGGTAAATTTGAAGGAAGACGCTATTTCACGGCAAAGGAAAGTTTCGCTAGATTTTTACCGTTATCATCGTTGACTCGGGTCGATAATATAATTGGAAGGCAGAGATCGGGTAAATTGATTATTTATCTTCGCTTGCAATGTTATCAATGCTAATTGATTGTTTGCTCGAGTTGTATGAAGCAGCAATTTTGAGTGGCCGTTAAAACAAAAAATTCTGAAGATTTTTTCATTTCATTTCATTTCAATTTTTCTTTTCTTTTCTTTCCATGTTTCGTCTTTGTTTGCTTGGGAATATCCAATTTCCATGGTGTTCCAATGTGTGTATCTATCGACTCTGTAGGAACTTTACTATCTCGAATGTCAGTTCAACTTAAACCTGGTCAACTTATTAGTGTCCAAAGGGAATCAGAGAATAATCTACCGATTCATTGTGCTCTCAACGCCCCTCATCATGTAAGTTACCATGAAATTTTACTATTCTTTCCGTACCTTCCCTGTTTTCACTCTTGCTCAACCAAAATCATTACTTTATGATGATGATACTTAGAAGTCTATTATTTTCGAGAAATAAATACTTTGAGCTTCAACATCTCGTATCTCTTGAAATAGAAAAAAAAGAATTAAATGAAATCGAAAAAAAATTGTCTCCACATGTATACTTCCACTTTTATTTCCGTTTCCTGTAGAAGTTTTTTTCATTATCTATTAAAGTTACTAAGAAAACAAATGTAGACTTTTACTCGGATTTATAACTCTCATCAGTTTCAATGATATGGAATCGACTTGAGTAGCTTAGAAAATTTTGTTGTTGGTGGAAAAAATGTTATATGAAAAAATTATAACATTGAATTAGAATATTCATCACTGATCATGATGAAGTTCCCCTGAAACCATTTGAGTCATTTGTAAGTACAATGAGTTTCAAAGGTTCATTATTATCGTGATGATAATGGTGTGAATTTGTATCTCTAATTCTGCTTTGTAAGGATATTTGTTTTTTCTATTCTTTTTCTTTCTGGATTCATAAGAATTCACTTATATGAAACATGATGCAGGAAAGACAAAGATGAAAAGTTTCGAAAACAAGAGAAAACTCAAGTGTTATTCTGATACATTTACCCTGGAAAAAGAGAATGAGAGTGAAAGAAGAGGAAAACAACGAAAACATTGATGAGAGGATGATAAAAATGAAGAAAAATCAAGGTCGAAAGTAAGAAAAAAATTCGAGAAAGATAAATGACTGAGGTTATCTGGTGTTTCCCTCTACAAATTTATTTACTTTTTTGTATCTTCCCTGAATGAAACATGTTAGAATTTGATCATGTTTGTAATTCTATCAACAAATAGATAAACAAGTAAACAAACCGACAATAAATTAAAAAGGTTGCGATGAGCGAAACTTTAATAAAGTTTCAGTTTGGGAAAAGTTTCACAAATAATCGAATCAGTAATTCAATATTTGCGCAATAATGAAGAAAAAGTAAGGGAAGAGTTTCACTCTTTTCTTAAATGGGTTGGGTTTTAATTTAGGTCAGACGAAAGAATGAAAGTAAAAGGGAAATGAACATCGAATAAATTTCAAGTTGACATGTTCGAAGCTGCGATTGGTTCTTCTATTCTTCATTTATTGAGTTCTGTTCAGTCATAATTTCCAACTGATTGATTCTCAAGGAATTAGTGCCAAGATTAAAATATCATATTCATGAAATGGAGAAAATTAAAAGACGATGGAGGATGAAAAGGCGAGATTATTGTCATCTTACAACCTCATGGGTCCTAATGTTTTGGGTGTGGAGAATTTCTGATGTAGCCAGAAAATTAGGTTACATGGAAAGAGAGAGAGAGAGAGAGAGAGAGAGAGAAGATTCTCATCAATGAGGTTTTCCTTATTTCTTTTGCTGATATCAGGGATTTTTTAATTTGCATTTCTTGAATCTAATTTCATCCATGTGATCATCAGGATAATTATGCTAATAAGTGAGAATTGTACCATAAAATTTTCAGAACTTTTTGATTCAATTCGATCTCACTGATTAAACTTATCACAAAGATAGTTAATTCAATTTAACAATTAAAATGAAAACATGATTCTAATGATTGTTACTAAAGAGAGGCAGGTTTTTAGAATTGCTGTAATTTCAGACTTAATTAAATTTCAATTCATTCAGCGATTAATTTCAAATGTAAAATGTTGTAACTTTGATTGTAGTCGTTAATTAGTTGTGTGGGTTCTTGTAATCAATGTAAACCAATTAAGTTAACATCTCATTTACTTGGGACAAATTTGCAAGAAAAGTGAAAATTTATTTTTCCCTTTTCTTTTACTCAAATTAAATGAATACCTCTTGAGAAGTATTAATACTTTCACTTTTGGAATAAGTCTAAAAGGTCTGATTAGTTGTCTGTATTGAATTAATTAGGTCAATTAGATGTTAATTTATGATTACAAAATAATTGAAGCTTCTTGCAAGCTCAACCAATTCTAATTGTGGTTTTGTTGTTTAATTCACGATTGTTCTCGATTAGATTGATCATGATGTTCATGTTCCAAATATGAACCACTGTTTGTGCAATAACTGTAATCATCCCTGTGCTCACTTATGTAAAACTAAGAAGCCCAAAGGTCGGAAAACTGATATGGCTCATATGTGCCACTTTTCACAAAAACCTCACAATAAACTTTGCTGTGGAGGTGAAGAGTTACTTTATAGTCTAGCAAGTGCCCAGGATCTTGAGCTGAATGGTTCATTGGCAGGAGATATTGGCGGTGGGATTGGTAACTGTTCGGGTAACAGAAGAGGGAGAAAAGTTTCTAATCCTTCAGGGGGCGATTCTACATCAGGTAACGGCTATGGACCAGGTCCAAATGGCTGTAGTATTTCATCTTATCGACGTCGTTCTGGTCGATCTGATGGTTCGAGAAGACGATCCTCTGGATCTTCATCAACAATCCGAAGGCTACGAGACAAATCACTGAAAATAAACTCTGCACCGACATCAACTGAACGTAAAGCTGAATCACAAGCCACAACGGAAGGAAATAAAGATGAATGTGTGATCAGTGGGAATGGTGATAAAGATAATGGAGATGACAAAGATGCAAATACTGAGGTAATCGTTGTAGGTGGGGAAGAAGCAAGTTGCCAAGAAGGTGTAACTCAATTAAATCCATTCACATTGTCTAAGCTTAAATCTGGGTCAGAATTATCTGTTTCTAGTTTACCCTCAACAGGAGCATCTCAAGTTGAAGTTTATATTGCACGAGGTGCACTTACAGATGAATCAGATTTGGATGATGATGATGATGATGATGATAGATACCAGGATGATGAGGAGTATGACGACGATGGCTGTTCAAGTGGATTAGTTTCATCTCAAGGACGCCACTATTTACGAGGTAAACGAGGTCGCCCCTCACATATTCCGCATGCTCATCACCAAGTCAATAATTGTCCCAATCAACGTCGTCGTCGTCGTCGTCGTCGTCATCATCATTATCGTCACTCGGGTACTGGGGGTTCACGATCAATAATTACCAATACTGGTCGAAGCTCACGAAGTTCTAGACGAAGATATAGTTCTGACGGTGGAGGTACACAGATAACCAGTGGAGGAGGTGACGGTTGCTCTGGACCTTCACGGAGATCGGGTAAGCGAAGTGGCCTTAGATCACTTGTATCCTGTTTAGTGCCTAGTATACCAACTTCCTACAAGAAAAGTGGTAAAAGTTCAAATAAAAAATCCAAAAGTAAAAATTCAACGAAATGTTCATCTTCCAGTTCACGACGACGACATGATGATGAAATTGATCTTAATCAACTCCTTCAAAATCACCATTTAGGTCAAGTTAATTGTGACCTAATTAATTATCCGTATTACCCTTGTTCCTGTGATGGTCATTCATCATGCATTCCACAACACCCTGGTCATCTTATAGATGAAAACAATGGTGAAATAAGCTCGTCAACCGGTCATCTTCTTGCTTTTAGTGGTCCAGAATCAAATGAAGGTGATTATGATCCGTATTTACACCATTATCATCCACTCCCTTTAGCCCCTCTTTCATCGTCATCATCTCTCCAAAAGCAACAACACACTTCCACAGATCATAGACATTATTATTATCCTCATTCTCATCCACATCATCATCACCAGTCACTTGCGCACTCTAACTCAACTCGACACTCTTCAACATCTTCCCATCATCATCATCATCATCATCATCATCACCAACCAACAATAACTTGCTCTTCCTCTTCATCACGTCGTCAGCCACAATTACAACATCGACATCACTCTCAGCGTAAACATCATGGCCTCTCAACAAGTCCCGAACCTGATCTCTCACCTGTTAATAACAAAACACCAAACGTACGATCGTCAACTCTCACCTCACTCATCTTTACCTACAACGACCTTTGAAGATAACCTTACCTTTGGAGTCGGTGCTGGATTAACTGGACGAGCGAGTCCCTGTGGTCACTTTTATTATTCACCTTGTGCCATCAGTGCCTCACAATTATCAATCGGAGCTTCACAAAAACATTCACCATCTACAAAAGTTTCAAGCGATCAGCATCATCATCATCATCATCATCCCAAGCAACAGGCAAATAACATTAAAAATAAACAAGTTCCATCATCAGTTTTAGAAAAGTCCGTTAATCTCAACCCAACGAATCAAAAATGTCCTCAACTTAAATCATCTTCTTCATCTTCATCGTCCCAACAGCTAAAACATAACCAATGTCCCGAATTTGTTGATCTGCAAGAGAAACTGTTAGTTGATTCAAAAACTGTCCAATCTTCATCCAAGGTTAATAATGATGACAACTTTATGCTTGATTTAACAGCATTCAGTTTGAATTGTGATGAAATTAACAGTAATAACAACAGTAGCAATCCAAATAAAGTAACATCAAATTGTTTAACATCCTCATCGCTCACACCAACAATTAAAAGTTCATCAGTAAACAATTATCAAAGTGCCCTACATAACCACACAAACCATAATAAAAATTTCAACCATTGTTCAAATGAGATTAATAATAATGTTAAATATAACAAGTATAGTAATGATGAAATCGACAACGATAAGCACCTCAATCAATCAAATTATCAATGCAATGGAATCAGTCATAATTTGATCTTCGATTCAAATAACGCATTTAGTGAATCGCCACCAGAAGGAATCGTGAATGGGAAAGGAAGTGGTGGAAATCACATGAATATTAACCAACATTTTCGTCACCATGAATCCAATTCATTGACACAATCGCCCACATCGTCAACAACCATGACACAAGCAAAATCCAATGGCCTCATGAACGGTGAGAATGTCTTGTTTAATGAGTCTAACTGTAGTTATATTAATCATAATAATAGTAGCAACATGAACACAATTAAAATCGAGGTTGAACTAACCCGTTCTCCATCGATACAGTCTTACACAAGTAACAGCATGATTTCACCACGGCGTAAGCGCAAAGGACCAGCTCCCCCACCACCGATCATCAGTGCATTTGAACCATTTCCTGGTTCGTCTGGAATTAGCTTATCACCACCATCATCGTCATCGTCATCACCTTCATCCTTAGCAGTTACACCGACACATTCACCTCTACCTGGGCCTTCAAATGTCTCCTCAGCAAATGTTAACTCAACATCATCAAAATCTTTAATCACTTCAAAGTCTTCCAATGTTGTCAATCTTTATCCTTGTCCACCAATTTCCGGTTGCTCAAAATTCAATGATAATCTTACGATGGGACGAAAAAAATCGATCAAAAACAAACCCGCTCCAAGTCCCCCTCCTCCTTTACCGACCCTTCCACCCTTAGCATCAAGACCTAAGAGTTTAATCCAAGGAGCTTCATCAAGGCCTCATGACACTCGCGGTGCTTTCACATCGTCACCTGTAGTGATGAAAGTTAATGAATCATCTCCATCTTCAACTCCCTTCACTCTTGGTCATTGTTCATCTCATTCTGTTTCAACTTCATGCAGAAATAACAATTCACTCAGTTCCCCCAATCAATCACCTACAAAGCACAACAACTGTAGACCGATAGCAATCAGATATTTACCTTGTCGATCACATTCAGTCTCTGTTTGTCCAATCGCGACATTAACCCGCTCATTGTCTGACCAGAAACAGATCAATGGTAAAGATATGCTTAGATCGGTTACCTCATATTCATCTGATCTTAATTTGCCTAAATTCACTCGATTAAGTGGACTAATTAATTCACCAACTGGATCATCAGTATTTCAACATGAGCAAACCCTGGAAAGTGATTCAATTATAATTAAATATGATGATCCTGATTACTTTTATCCAATGATAACTAATTGCTATTCATCATGTGAGCTTCCATATATAATTGATAATGAAGCCAATGAAAGTGAAATAGTTCACCAAGAAGATGGAAAATTAAATTGCGATCATATTACTGTGCCAACGACACCAATCAGACGAAAAAGACAAAAAGAATATAAAATGATGAATAAAAGTCAATCTTTTACAAGCTCGTCATTATTTCCAGAAGCAGGTAAAGGTTTACCTTCAGGTCTTCCACCTCGACCTCCGTCACCAAGAATAGATTCCAACAGCTATAAAATGGTCAATAGATCAATTCCACAAACCCCGGTTCGTACTCGGCAACGAAGTCGACCAACATCGATATGCTTTGCTAATCATTGCTGTAGACTTGATCAATCGAGCAATTACAAGATCGCACAAAATATAGCTATGAGATCATCGTCCTTGAACTCGATGAAGTCGCGATCATCTCCTTCAACACCTAACATTTCACGCAACCTTCATAGCTCATGTTCATTACCGCGAATAGATTCCGCTCTTACCTTTACTCATTCGACATTATCAGAGTCACTACCAGATAGCCATCAAGGTGAGAATAGTATCACATGTACAAATTGTTCATTGTGTGGCCTGAAAGGAGCCGTTGAAAGGAGACCAGAAACGACCAGAACAACGGAAAACAATGGATTGGAAATAGTGAAATCAAAAGATGAAACAGTTGTGAAGGACGAAACGTCAACAATCGAAGAACCAATTTACGAAGAGATTGATTTCGGATTGATTTCAGAAAATGTCGCAGCTCTTTTAAGTCCTCGACAGCTGATGAATAGTGCTAACAATAAACTTCGTTCTCGAGCCGATAAAAATACGTGCAAGGATGCAAATGATTCTGGTGAGATGATGATGACTTCTTGCAACAATAAGATAAACATGTCTCCTATTGATACATTGAAAGCACGGAAAATATCAAGTGGAACAGGGGGAGAAAGAAAAGAGGATGATGCCATGATGGAGAGAGTAATTGGACATCATAATTCTAATTCGGGAGGTGAAATACTATCTGATACTTCTGATGATCGAGTTACAGTTAAATCAATGATCAGTCACAACAATAACAATCAACTTAAACCTTGGGCTTATTCATCATCTTCACTTGACAGTGAACAATCAACAACATCAAGTGGATCAACTGTTAAACAATGGGCTAATCAAATAGTTTCTTATTCCTCTAAAAGCCATTATCACCCTCTTCATGGTGGTTCATCCGGATCAACTCCAACCACATCATCAACTTGTTACCATGGAGATCATCCAGAATTATATCGGATTCAGTGTATTGGTCACCATCATTTCCACCATAATGATGAGAATAATCAAAAGCATCTTCATCACCCTCATCTAGTTTCTCTTTCACCATCTTCCACACCAGAACAACGGCAACATTTCTATCATTGTCCACACCACCACCACCACCATCACCTTCCGCATCATCGCCATTATCATCATCATGGCCATCGAATGATAACAACAAGTACTTCAGATCATTCATTATCTTCCTTATCTTCATCTAATTTCAGTGAAGATCCAACAACAACAACACCAACACCTCCCAACATTTCAACTGCTCTTCATGATGATTATAATTTCATCTATCTACCAGACGACTCACCGGTAGGTCATCATTGTTCAGATTTAGATGAAACAAATGAGGATGAAGATGAAGATGAAGATGTTACCGTTGATGAAGATGATGTTGAGGAAGAGGAAGTAATCATTTGTGATGATATTCTGTTGCGAGGTGAAGCTAAAAATGATTTTGGCAAAAGAACCTGTTGTTATTCTGATCCTTTTTACCAAACTCAAGATTTACAAGGAGATGACGAGGATGATGGTGAAGATGAAAGAGAAGTTGATGGAGATCATGGTGGCAGAAATAAACTGAAGGAGAAAAAGACAGAGGAAGAAAGTGGAAAGGGAAATGATGAGAAAACCTCATTGGAAACAACACCAACATCACAAGTTTATTCACAGAAAATTGAATCACCAATTTGTTCAACTAAATTAAACGATGTTAAATCAGTCCATGTATCAACTGCATCACATTTTCCATCATCTTTGTCATCATCAAATATTCACAATAGTAAAAAAACCAGAAGCCTTTCATCTTTAAATTATCATAATCGGATTAGTTGTGATCAAATTGCTGCTAATCAATCAACTTGCCATTGTCATCAATGTTATCATCATTCACAGCAACATTTTATTGGTACAAGATCTTATCATCAACATCGTACTAATCAAAATAATTATCAACAACCAACAAAAACTTTCAATAAATCAGGTAAATATCAAACATCGGTCAAACTGTTTAAACTGCATCACTTCCGCTTCCGTTATTTTATCAAAGTAACTTTTTATACTTATACTACATGTATTGTGTATATAAATTAGATTTCATCATCTATCTCATTTCTTAACCATCTTTATGGTCATAACTTTCATTGTTGTTATTAATATTTATTTATCATCAAATTGAATATCATTTCCGTAATAATAAACTGTCATGAATTTAGATTTCCGATTTCAATTGACTGACAAAGTAAAGAGATGACAATCATAGAAGATGATTATGATGCGGATAGAATTTTGTTTTCCATCATTAATCCAATCAATTGATTACTTAAACTGAAAATATCTCCATCTTTGTACCATAAGAACATTCAGGTTCCGAAGATAACATGGCCTCTTCATGGAATGGCAGTGGTCCTTTTGCTAATGAAAATCATCAAAATCAAACACAGAATTACAACCACAATGAAAACAACGATGGGAACAATATAAATCGTTTGATGCAAGAATTACAATTGGCAATTAATTATGGTCAACATCGGAAGGCCGCCTTACTTGCACGTCAATTGGCTCTACGAAAAGTTTCCTGTTCATTTAATCAATCAACAGCTAATTCGACGGGAACTTTTGGCTCCAATGACCAGCCCATAATGTGAGTCTTCCCTTCACTTATCTTTACTAAGTTACTCTCGATCTCTCATCGATTTCAAATTCTTTCAACTTTTTTCACCATTTCCATTGATCGACCTTAGAATCCTCCTCTTCTTCTCCCTGAAAAGAAACAACATTCAGTAGTAGTAACCATTAAATCTTAACTTAAAAGGATAAAATCTATTTACTTTCTTCCTATTTGATTAGTCTTTCCACTAACGCTCAGCTTAATGCCTTTAACCTTATTCTGATGAATTCATCACCAACCTCATTCTCATCTTCATCTTCATCCTCATCCTCATTTCTATCATCTTTACTCCCAATCAACTGGCCATTTAATTAAATCAAAAGTCTAGTTTTTAGTCTCATCTCTTGTTAATTAACTTTCCTTCCTCAATCTAATCATTTCAATCCACAACTTTGTTTACCTTGTCCAACATTGACTTGCCACAATACAGATCACAACTAAATAAATCAATGAAATTGGGTTTCATTTAAAAACCCACAATATAAACAATATTATCAATAAATCAATTTACTTGAAAAGATGACAATTATGGTGATAAAGATGAAGATAAGATAAAGATTAAGATTAAGGATGAAATGAAAAACAATAAGGATCAAAGGCAAAGTGATGACCTTTTCTTTATCTTCACCTTCACCTTCGAGCTGTAAATTTGAAATAAATACCTGTTTTATTAATACTTTTAGTTAATCATTGTTGACCATTAAAGTGGACAATTTGTTAACTATTAACTTTGATTTGTCTTTGTTTTTCTTCATCATTATTTTAATCACCATCAGTTAATTATCCTAATCAAGATGAGAACAATTTTGATGAAACAAAAAGTCATTTATTCAGTACAATTGATATTATGAAAGGATAAGAGTATAAAATAAACCATAGGATAATTAGAATGTAATTTTGTATGAATAATTTTCTCCAAGTTAAACAAATATCAACAATTACAGTTAATTGCTTCAAACAGGTCCATTGATACCATTGTTATAAATGAACTTAACATTACACTAATGATAAGTTAATTAAGTTAATAAAACAATGATATTACGATTTGAAGCAATTAAGAGGTGATTTCACTTTGAGCCATTTTCAGGACCGTTTACACAACTAAAAGGGTTAATCTCTTATACATAAAAAAACTAAGCTAATCCCTTAAATTAATCCAAGGATAATGATACCAATCCACTAAATTGAGACTATATGGAGATGGTTCTAATTGAGATCACTTCTGTACGAAACTCTGACAAGATGTTAGTCAATTAGGACGACGACTATTTCCATGATTTAATTAAACTAATTAATTGATTGTATTTGTAATCAAAACTCGTCTCTTAATATTTCAGAGTTTACCTTTACATTGAAGACAAGCAATCACGCCAAGGACCATTCCCAATTCAATTATATCCTTCGATGACAGTCAAGATGCTCAAAGAAAAGGTAAGTTGCTGTTAACAAGTCTAACTAATAACAATGTTGTTGTCGAATCAATAACAATCGAGCAATTATAGTAATTTTTTATTCTGTATTTCATGATAAACATCATTAAGATGAGGATGTGAAGGAAATGGTTGATGATAATGAACCTTGAAAATAATAAAACTAAATGCGAAAAGGCTATTTAATGTAATGATTTTCATCATTAATGGTCAAGGTGATTTACTAATTCCTCTTTTGCATCGTTTTCACTTTAAGTCTTCACGATGGAAAGATGAAGATACATAGTAAATATATAAGACAATTAACTGATTGTTGTTTCCTGAGAGCTATTTATCTACTTTTCGTCAGAATTGAGAGATTGAACTTTGCATTTTATTTAAATCATTAAACTAAATCTGATTAGCTGATCATCATCCTTGATATTTAAGCTTTAAATTGGTTATTTTTCTGTTGTTTAATTAAACATTATTGTTTAACTTGATTAATTATTATTATCTGATTAACTCTAGGGGGTGGGTTTTAATTGTTTAGAAAATTTAATGTGATTAAGTTTTTATTGCATTAAAGTTTCATCAACATTTAATTTAATTAATTGAATTTTCTACCTTTAGGTTAAATTGTTTGGCTACATTGTTTTCTTTAGCTATTGAGATTCAATATTAACTGAAATACAATTAAATGTAAGAAATTTAATCTAAATTAATCAAAAAAGTAACAATGGAAACAAACAAAACCTCTTAAGGCTGAAAAACAAGGAAAACAATTAAAATCTAGCAAATTAACTTAATTATTCTCAACAATTAAGAAAGTATTCCATCTAAACATCATTTAATTAACGATTAACGGTAAATTGTTAATTTAAACAAAGTGAAAATTTTAGAAAGATGAAAACATCAAGTTGATTGCTCTTTTAAATTTTGATTCTTTATCTTTGGGTTAAATTATCAATTAAAATTGTAAAAATAATTATGCTTAATCGTTAATTAATCCTTATGATTAACTTTTGTTTGATTAGCACAAGATTTAGCTTGGATTTAAATTTGTGAGTTAATCAATGGAAACTTTTTCCTTTTATTATCAATGTTGAATTGTATTGATACTTAAAACTTTACGAGCAATTTTTCAGTCTATTTAATTTAGAGCAATCAATTTAATTTGCATACTTGATTAGACTCGAGGAAAAAAAAAGGTTTATCATTATGTTGAATATTGAATCAGAACAATCTGAATCTTGTTAGCAATAAAAGAATACAAAATTATTACTCATTCATCATGGAAGGTAAAAAATCCTTGTATTCATTTATTATTATCAAGTTAACGATAGTTTTTCTTGCATTTCTTTGTAAATTATTTACTCTTCATTTGGTTTTATTGCTTCTTGTTAACTTAGCTAACTAACTGTTTAATTTATCATGATTATAATATTTAATCTGAGCATCAAACTGGCAAGAAATTCAATTCTATGTTTGGTTATACTGATCAATTATCATGAAAAATTGTGAACACTAATTCATGGTAACAATTGTCTTTGATTCCCTACTAGCATCATTAGTTAACACGAGTTGAATGATTTAAACCAGGAAACGGAATCAAAGTCAGCATTTTGAATAAAAATTCACCATTATCATGATTACCAGGGTGTATTTCATTCATCATAAGAATAAATAAAAGGAATCAGGTGGAAAAAGTTTCAAGTTTCAGCTCAGGGAACAAAAGATGGTTAGAATAAAGTTAATTACTTAAATAGATTTTTAAGCAAATATACAAAATTAACTTTCACATGGCTAATCAATAAATCTCATTTCTCAGCAATGAGCTCAGATAGAAAGAGATTCTCAAAAGAAGATGAATTGAAATAGTTTTTCGAAAGTTTTTTTTTCTTCGATTATATTCATAAACATTTATTTCTATTTATTGTTGAAAGTAAAATGATAGTAATGATGAGGATGCAAAGCACAAGGTGAAGGGAAACAAATGATGAATGAGAATATTAATACATTCAGGTTAGAGGCAAACTCAACTTTTTCTCAGTCTAATCTGAGCTCCTGATTTTCCAGTCAGATAAGCGCAAGTTTCACTGCTACAAGACTCATGTGTTGAGAATTGAAAATTGTGAAAAATATTTTCAACATGAAAGATTATTGAACAAGAGGAGGGAGACTGAAGATGAATTATCGAAGAGAAAGAGGAGAAAAGGAGAGCAAATGTATAAAGACCGTGGATGTGACTCCTCTCATCTCTAATCCATCATCATGAACCTTTTTTACCGCCTCACACTTCCAATTATTCAATGTTAATCATTTTTATACACAAAAGATTCAAAGAGTAAAATTTTATCAGTAGTTGAATTTTTATTCTTTTTTGATTCAGTTTGAATCACCGAAAACTCTTGTTACTATCATGATTTTTTCGATTTTTTTCCTCAGTTGATGTTTTTGCTACATTGATTTACCTCTTAGGAGGATCTTGAAGCTTATCCATTAACTGAAAAACTGAATTAAGCTCGATAAATGTTGGTTGAAAATCAGCTAGTCGGTTAATTGTCAGCTGATTGTGGAAAATGATCAAGCTTTGCCCTTTCCATTAACTTTTGCTGTAGCTTCCAAAGTGCTTCTTAAATAAGTAACAAGTATCTAATCGGAGTGGTGATTAGATAATCTTCTGAAAACTCACCATAACTCAGATTAATCATATTGGTTTGAAAAAATAGTTAATGGAAAAGCCCTTCAATTTATCTATGAATTACTTAATGATAACTATTATTATTGCCTTTTAAGCCGATAATTAAGTATCCAGTTGATAGGAAAAATTACTTGTGTATTAATTTGCTGGTCTCTCTTAAGCATCAGTGTCATTATAACAAAATCATCTTGAAATGAACTTAACTTATTTGAATATCTGTTCGCAACAGAAATTAAGTAACCTCCTTTTCCAGCTACTTTTCCAGATTTCGTTCTCATACCATCATGAGTATCATGAACATCATGACTTGCTCTTCAGTCGATTCATTCATAATCTGAATATACAGCATAAATTAAATAACAAACTTCTGGCTAAATTCTGTTAACACTGGTGATACAGTTGAATAATTTGAGCATTGAAAATTCAGGTTATTACGAATCAGCCATCTGAAGATATTATTACAATCAACTGTCAATGGCATAATACAAAAATCAACACTGATCACGTAATTGGCTTACATGATGTAAATGAAGAGATAGTTGAACTTTCTCATGATAAATGAATTTAAAAGAAGAGGTTGATGAGGTAATGATGAAAAACTCATCATGAAATTATCATTCTCGTAAATTCTGACATTCAGCATTATAACATTTTCTTATCTTGATCATTATCAATCTTTTTGGGATCCAAATCAGTTCTTAGAATGCAAATTTTATAGAAGAAGAAAAGACAAAATTATGCAAACAAAAATTCTCCCAATAAACATTTTTCCTTGGATACACTTATTATCTCATACACACTCATTCCCAATCTTAGCACTCTCCATGCATTTGATTGACATTAACCTGGTTTGCCTTTTATTTATATTTGCATTTCAGTTACATGTCAAATTGATCAACATAATTGAGCTTAAGATGTACTCTTAACATAGACACATACACATCCACTCCAAGGTATAAATACCAATGTAACACCAAGAAGTTTATTGCATATATCATGTTGAACACCCTGAGAATACTCAGAATACTCTGAATGTTTCTTCATAGAATCTTCACCCTTCTTTTCTTATCTTCATTCTTTCAATTTGCATTTCCATTCTCTCTCTTTGCTGTTTTATCTTTTGTATTGAATACAAACCTGATTTCTTCATCTGTCAATCTTTTCATTACCATATCTTCATGATAATAACGATAATCTAAATACAACAAAACAAAAATCATTTTGTTAGAAAGCGACATTTTCACGAGAAGATAATTTTTTAGGCCGAAGGATAAATCGTCGGAAAATCACATTTAATTTAACCCTTCACACTTGAAATGCTAAATAGTCATTAACTATTCAAAGTTATCATGTTTCCACCCACTCTTCACCTTTTTATCTTCATTATTCTGATGAGTTATATCTTTCTTTCTTAATCTACATTCGTAATCTTCTTATACACTCAGAACTTTCACTTTGTTGTTCATGACAAATATATTTTGATAATACAATTTTCATCCTACTAACTATCATCTCACCTTGTAAATCATCATTAATTAACTTGAAGTGTTCTAAACAATTAAAAGTATTCATATTAACGCGCGGAACAATAAATCACTCTTGATTTGATTAACTGATAGTTTACCAGGAAGAGAATTCAGAATGAAGACGAAATTCTGATAAAGTAACAGAATCTTTTTTTCCTCCAAGTTAATCTTCCAATTATCATGGTTAGAAACTTGTCACTTGTGTCTATTAATTGATTAACATGATTTAATGAATAGATTCCAATTAAATTAATGAAAGTATAATGATTAACCTTTCTCATTCATTATCTATTACTATTGATTATCATCTTCGAGCAATGATTTACTTGCGATTATCAGATTGTCTTAACTAGTCAATTACAAAGATTAGTATTCATTCAACTCAATGTCATTTAATTTGCCTGCCCTGGGGCTTTTTACCAAGCATCAACATAAAAAGACCATCAGCATGATAATTACGTAAATGAAAATTGTTCAATTTCTAGTTTTCTTCTCGACTCATGAGTCGAATTTTCTAAAACGATTAACTGAAGGAAACACGTTTTCCAATTAGTGTCAACTGATTAAATGTAATTAAAATTAAACACTTGGGTGTAGCTTTTGACACCAATGTGACAGTTGATTAACTTTTTACAATTGGGTTCAATTGATGAGGTTAAATAACCAAAAGAAAGTAATTACTCATAAAAGCAAGAAAGGCAATGCAGAAATTCCAACTCAATATCAAGACCGTCGACCTGAATGAGACAGCTACTGACCACAATAGGCCTGAAAGAGACTCGAGACTTGAGTGGTATGAGTTTGAGCGATACTCAATTGTCATATTAAAAGATCAAGGTCATTCAGGTCACTGGCAAACGCGTTTCAAGGTCATTTGAAGGCATTACTATGAAAAAGTATGCGTGAAAACACCAGTATCAGGTTTTCAGGCTCTTATGTCTTTGGGGTCAACTGTTAAGATAAGTTTTGTTAATTAAAGAATCTCAACAACTTTTTAATTCAACTGCAATATCTTCTGCTTGAAAGTTACAACAAACTTCAAAATCTTAACACAGGATGAATGAGCTTGGAAAATCATAAAATGACCTTAGAACGCGTTATTTTGCCAGTGACCTGAATGACCTTGATCTTTTAATATGACAATTGAGTATCGCTCAAACTCATACCACTCAAGTCTCGAGTCTCTTTCACTATTAGTTGCTTAGATTATCTCAAAAGACATCTTTTTTTTGTGCGGATCTTAAGTGCCGCGACAAATCCTAACAATTGCTCGATATTCAGCAATATTCAAAACTCGACAATAAGTTTCACAGGAAATCTCTATTGTACAGTCACCTCAAGCCCCGCATGGTATGGACATATATTGACCATTTTAAAGGACCTAATGATGTGGTTAAAGCTAATGGAGTAAGATCTCTCTCTCTCTCTCTCTCTCTAACGCCCCCGCAATGTTATCAGGAAATTGTCAACTAAACAATATCACCAATCTTCAACTAACCAATGTCTCGATGTCGATAGTTGAGCTTAAAAGATACCTTAGATTGTTATTAGATTATGAAAATTTGATTAAATTGTTAACATTTTTTTTTACTTATCACAATCTTTGGTAAAATAATTTATACTTTTTAATTGTGGTCAGTAGTTTCCCATTTTGAAAACAATAAAGATTAGCATCTTCTCAGATCTTAATTTTGGTCGATCGTCTTGTTGTTGTGCTCAACTGGTCTTGTCAAAAAGGAAACACTGTATGATTAAAAAGCTTAATTAGATTACTGAAATTATCAATTTCGATTTTATAAATGAGAAAATGATTAAATAAAAGGATCAACATTTTGGTTTGACAGAGATCGTGGAAATTAAAATGTAATATCACTTGAAATTGTTCCACTGATCATTAATGTTTAGCATTCGATAGTGAAGGTGAAACTGAGGAATTCGAGACAAAGTCGTTTGATTGATGCTCATGAAGTGAGAAAATATATCAGATTTTTCATGATGATATTTATCGTCAACAATTGTGATGATAATAATTTTTCATCTGATTTTTACTCCTCCCTATTGAACTCTTGGAACTTTTTTCCATGAGAATGGAATAGAATAGCAATTAGGAATTTCTTTCTTATTCTGTTGATTAAGTTTTTTCACCAATCATTTACGAATGAGTATGAGGATTTCATGATGGAAAAGAGAAAAAGGGAGAAAAAGGATTTACCTGAGATCATAAAAAGATCACGTAAAAAGCTGAATTTATGACAGATGAAGAGAGACACAAGATTGAAAGTGAGAGATGAAGATTCTGTATGATTATTATGATGCCCTTTTTTCACCAGAGGAAAAGATCTGTCATCATCTTTTCAACATCAACTTATGATGATCATTTTTTCATCTCCTTCTTCACTTTATCATGTATTATCTGAGTCATTATCATTTTTACTGAGTTATCATCAAGATGATGGTTATGATCATCTATCTAACTATTTATCTTCTGCGATTTATTCCTGAATAGTAACCAGGATTAATCAGAGTTCCCCCAGCAATTAACCTTATAGTTATTTTTGATTCCTTGTTAATGATACTTTGTTATACGAACCTCGCCCTAACCTTTTCATCCTGGAATCAAAGTCATTATGGGTTCTCGATACTTTAAGAGTTCCATCTAATCGTGTTAAATATAATCAAACATGATGATAATCATTACATACAAACTCAATATATACATGTAATTCCATGTATTGTCTCTTAGAATCTTCTGTCATGATTCCAATTGACAATTGATTTTCTTAGAGAAAAAAGAAATTAATTTTATCAAAAGAATCAAATATTTCATCATTATCTGGGATTCTATCATGAGAAGACTCTTGAATTTGCATTCTCATGGAATGAAAAATGAGAACTTTTTGTCCTTTTTTCCTCTCATTCTTACATCATCATCTTCACGCTTTTTTGCTCATCATTTAACCTTCGCCTTCTCATCTTTAGAATGATGAAAAAAGAATGAGAACCTTCCAATCATTTTCTCTTCTCTTTTATAACAAAGACCAATTTTTCACTCTTGATTGAAGGTGAATAATAAACAATCAAGTAACAGAAAAGGTTATTTATCATCCGCTTTGAGGAATCGAGCAAGAGTGAAAATTGTATTCGATCAAAGCTCCGAAGTTATAAGAAAATGTTTCACTTTTTTTCGCTCGAGTCCAAGATCAGCTATTAGAATATTAGAATCAATCGAATTATTTGTTGACTTATATTCACTTAATTCACGAAGTTCACTTTTTTATCTTCATGACATATCATTGAAATTCATTATCAAGATGTTGTTCAGTTTTAGTGAATATATTGACATAATATCACCAAGCTCTGAAATAACAACTATCACTATCATTCTATGGACCTTTTTATCATTACCTTGCATTAACATCGTCATCTTCATCTTCCTGGATGATAAAAAAGAGAATGATGATTATCATAATATCAAAAGAATATTGAACTTGTGAGGAAATGGAAAAGATTGAGTTTGAAAAATAGCTTTCGTGAGGAGATTGGAAATATTCAAATATTTATTTTCATGTACACCAACCGATGAAAATATTGCAATGAACTGGCTATTTGAAAATGCAATTTATTACTGATTAAGAAACGACATCAATCAGTAGGTCAATTTACATTTTGAATGGTCACTCATTTTGTCTTGAAATAAGATGAGAGATGAATCTTGAGATGGACTTTAAAAAACTTTTAGGACGAGAATTTAGTAAGGATGAAAAGAATAGTATTCAGATTGTGTTATCATGGACTTTTTTCAGATTTCAATATTATATTTATAACATGATCGATTATTATTGTAAAGATTAACTTTATCCTTTTCTTGAAACGATAATATAAATGAACAATTTTCATCTTCTCTTTTCTCATTGAAACTTCTTGCAGGTTGAAGGTGATTTTGGATTCCCTGTTAATATTCAATCATGGATTCTGGGTAAATGTCTTGCAACCAATGAAGATGCCTTACTATCAACCTTTGGTATAATCTTATCAGGATGTCCCATATTTTTATATCTATTATCAAATAATAATACCACTGACCAAGTGACCATCAATGACAATAATCCTCTAGGTCAAAATTTATCAACTCCAACATTCGGTGAGAAAACTCAGCATGATGAGAATGAAGATAAAAGTGGAAACCATGATGATCAGAATCAGGGTAATGCCACGTTTATCACTAATGATACAAAGGAAATGAAAGGTGGGAAAAGATCAGTTTCAATCGCTGGTAAATTATCATCAAATGGAGAAAGTGAGAATATCAATGAGAATCATGCTGATCACCATGAAAATAATGAAAAGAATGACCTGGTAGGAGGCAAGTCAAGTTCTGATATTGCAAGTGGGAGTGGATCTTCTGGTGAGGTCAGTAAAGGTCTTGCAACATCAATTGATGCAACAATTTCAATGAGACCAATTCAAAGACGTAGCAAAGGTACAAAAGTAACATCAACCATCTCATCACCATCAACATCAAAATCCACTCCAAAGTTGATAGAAACTCATGGTGAGGATCTTAATCATCATTATCCACTTTCTGCCCTTAATCAGGTAAAAGATCAACTGATTAGAAAGGCTGATAAAATCTCAACAGAATCACCAAGAAGACAAAATCGAAAGGTAAGTTTCCATTATATTTAATTTGGAAGCAAAAAAAAAAGATTCTAAAAGTTGAATCCACTCATTATTTTTATCGCCTTGATATCATTTCATTCAATTGATTTTTAAGCTCATTCTCTATTCTCAACACTAAACGACACAACAATGATACACCGAAAAAAAATAACAACAATAGAAAATCAATTAAATTGATTACAAATCTCGAATATAAGAACATTAAAACTTTCTAATGGTCCGATAAAACCAATAACACTGATGATTACACAATAAACTTGATTAATCTATTATTCACTTAAGTATTTTAATTAATTACCTTTGGATGGATAAAAATGAAGATAAGCTCAAAGTGATCAAAAGGATTGATAGCGAATGATGATTCATTTCACCCTCTTACCCTCGAGTATCACCTTGAGTTCGAGAAATGATCTGACTTTTATTCTTTTCTCACTTTGTGCCCTAAAGAAAACTCATCTCACACTAATTGTCATGAGTGATGTTGCACGATAATAATGATGATACCTCTGTGAAAAATGTTACTAGAATATATTTACTGATAATCGGTATTAGAAATGACCTTTTTTGATCATCTTTGATTAATTAACATGAAGCTCCATAGGCAATTGTATCATGAAGATGCCATTAAATGAGCACATACCGAATAATGAATAATGAACAAATTGCTCGAGATAATTTTACTGATCAATATTTATCATAGAATTAAACTTTCACTTAATCAAAGGAAACTCGCTGATGGGCTCGATTAGAATACACCTTGGCTTAAAGATCATTTCCCTTTCGTCCTTTTGATTTACCTACTTTCCGAGTCTCAGGTATGGAAATTATTGTTGATTTAGTTACAATATTAACTTTTATTATGATGATGATGACACACAGAATAATAATGTCATTTTCTGGTCCAGAGTAATTGCAGTTACAATTTTCGAGACTCAACTAGATTGATTCATTAGGAATACATGATTTTAGCAGTAATCGTGAGATAATAATTTCCTGATCTTTTTCCTCATCTTCATGTTCATGAAAATACATTTACACAATTGTTACAAATAACTTAACTATCAATGATAATGAAGATGTATAGTTATCATTAACAGCCAATTTATGATAAAATATTCAATCTTCTCATGGTAATTCATGATTAAACAAAGATTATCAGCATTATCAGGAAAACATTTTTTCACTTTTTCACCTCTTTCAAACTGACCCAATGTCCAGTCTATTAGTTTATCTTAAGGTGATGATGATAATAGTTACTGTTCATGATAATGATGATGACTTATGATTATCACCAAGATAATAAAGATAATAACATTGCAAGTTTATCTTATCAGTGATTCATGAATCGGAGAGCTCATTTAATAATATTATCATTGTGATAAGAAAATATGTCATTATTGAACTGAACCCATGATTGAAACTATCATGAAATTAATGTTTTATGAAATGACTAAGTTTCAAATTTATTCTTCAATTTAATGAATGTTCAAATGTCAGCACTTTCTCCAATTATGATGAATCTGATAAGATGAAAACTCCTAAATCATCCTGTCTTTGTCAATTCGGACGATTAAACAAGATTTTCGATATTAATATTTATATCAGTTGAGACTATTTATAAGTATCATGTAAACAATGTTACCACCATTTATTTATCATTACCTTCATGAATTTTTTTACTACATTTACTTTTTGTCAAGTGAGTTGACTTTTTGTTTTTTTTCTGTTTCCACCAATATTATCAGAGGACACATGCAACTGGCCTTAACTCGACTCAATCATTTGTTACCCAATCAAATTTTTACTTATCCTCATCAATATTGCCTTCGCTTTGTTGTAATTTTTAGCTTTATCCATTGTAAGAACTGAGAGAGAATCTTCTCTCATGGGTCCTGTTGGAGAGCGAGAGTAAAAAGATACAGCAAATATCGAACAACTTTGATTATTTGGCAGCAATAGTTAGTGTCCAGTACACATGAAAGATGGTCAAAGCAGCAAAAGTACAAACAAATAACAATTGTTGATTTGTTTGCCAATTTTATAACTTGGCTTGAGAAGCAATATTAGTCAAACGTTGCAAAGACTTATATCAAAGTTGTTTTTTTCATGTTCTAAATGTTACAACTCAAAATCGAAATTGGCAATGAGAAGATAAAAAGTTTAGGGTTAACTATTCATAACAATAACAGAACTTTCTCTCTCTCTCTCTCTCTCTCTCTCTCTCTCTCTCTCTCTCTCTCTCTCGGAAATGAAATGAAACTGAAAGTAAATCAGTAAAAGACATTTAAGATAAATGTTGACATTTACTCGAATTTTACTCTTTCTCCTTTTGGCTTGAGTTCGAGAAAAATAGAAATGATATGAGTTCAACTCCAACAGTTTTTTATGCTCAAAGATTAATATTTTCATCATCTTTCAATCGAGATGTTTTTCTGACCCTTCAATATATTATAAATGAAATTTTTTCCTCATATAATATTAAAATGATTTCATGAACATGTTTGATCATTAGCAATCTCATCTTGGCTTCATGATAATGAATTAAACATTACAAATGAAATCAGAATGAGTTCATCTTAGGAAAAATATTAAGATTCCTATTAGGATGTATTAGTTTTCTATGCAATCGAAGCTGATACATTTTCACATTCATAAATTTACTATCATGATGATAATCATTTTCTTTGCTCAACTTGCATCATAATATTGAATTTAATTGGCTGCACTAATCAACTAAAAGATTAGTTGATTATTTCTCTAGAGTGAGACTCAGTCCGATTATCTGAACTATCTAAACGTGAATTCATTTTCAATAACTGTTATTAGTTATTACATATTATCGTCATTATTGAGAAAGCATCTAAATCGATATATTATATTGATATTATCTCTTTTTGGTGCAAATGGTTAATGGTAGATAATGAGCATTACCTAGAAAAGTAACAAGATGATCAAGTCCTTTGTTTTGATCAACATTTAGTTTTGATGATAATTCAAACGATGAATCATTATTATCTCATGTCTTTTCTGTTTGTTTCTGTACATGTAACTTAACAATTGAATGTCTATCAGAATTGAATGATTGACATTTCCACCAAAATCCGTATCTCTTGTTATATTATATTACATGAAGAGATGAGAAGAAACTTTTCTTTCATCATCATCATCGCATCTTTTGTATTGTTTTCTTGTTGTCTAAGATTCTCATGCTTTCCCTCATACTCCATATTCCACCTCCCACCACCCATTAGAATTATCTATCTGAAGAGACTGTTGAAGGTGACCTATGTGGTGGTGTTGTTCAAGGGTCACTCCCAATCATCCTCAGAATATCATGATTGTTTGTTTTTCAACTTGAATTTCGCCTCCTCTTTTATTATCATAGAGCCGCAGGGGAATTTTATCTTTCACTTGTAAGAACTCATTTTTCACCATCAGAATCATGATTTTCCATGAAAAAAGAAGAAGAAAGAAGATAAAGTTCATCATTCTTCTTTTTCTCTTCTGATTATCATCTTTCTCTATTATCATGCTTTTATATTCTAAAACCAATTCATTCAAGAGAATCATGATGAAATTCATCATTTTGCCATATCCAATGTTTTCGTTACGATTCAGCGAATACGTTCAGAATGTTAACCAGAATTGAGCTTCAGAATTGGAGATTTGAGAGTTGATCGGAAAAGAATATGATAGAAAGAAAAAGAGAGAAAAATTTTCTTTCTATTCTATTTACTCTTCATATCCAATTTCCGTTTGTTCAGATGCTAAAAGAATACTTATCCTTGCTTATTGAATTCGAAAATTTGATCTAAACCAATTCAATTGTTTACTGTAATATCAACCTCAGAATTTATTGATTAACACCCGAAAACGACTTGATTGAATCACTTGAGAAATGAAACATTATGGCTACTGTTTCATCCATTACAATTTATGGTTAGCAATCAGCAAATTATTTATATTATTATATTTAATTCCAAGTTTTTTTCATAATCAACACAAATCGAATCACAAGCAAAAAGTTTCGTTTCTTTCTTTTAGAAATATTTTGATGATCGTAATTTAATAGAAATAATTTTGCGACAAAATTATCATGATTATCTTTTCTCTCAGTCTGCTTGTTTCAAGTTAATTAGAGTTTCTTTCTAATTGGATTGACAAGATGAGGAAAAAAGATCAGTTTGAAAAAAGAGCTTGGAAGATGTGGAGGTGAAAAGGATTTGACTAATGAAGAGAATTGACCTGCCCTAGAATTCACTTGGACAATTGAAGAAGAAAAAAAGGTAGAAACACTGACAATAGAATTAAGAGTTTTTCATGGGTAAGATAATGATGGTCATCATTCTGACGACTGGACAGCTTTCTAGCTTTCGAAGGAAATGAAACTAGACCTTTTTTCTAACCAAATTGAATAGTGAAAATAGGAGGTGAAGTGGGCAGATCAGAGTTGGTGGAATAGGATTTAGAAAACAGGATAACATAAAACTAACTCCAAGCCCATTAGATTGAACGAAACAAATAAAATGTTCCACTTTATATCATGAAAATTTCGCTTCCATGTAACAATTAGATTATGCCTCGAATATTTTTTTCGAAGAAAATTCTGTTTCAGCTTCTTTGATAGACATTTTCTTTCAACACCTTTTTGTCACAACACTTTCAACTTTTCCATGTAAACTTAATTTTGATTATCATAAATACCTTTTGATTGAACTTTCTGACTGACTGAGTTTCAGTTTTCAGTTTTCAGGCTCATCTCAAGTTGGAAAGAGTTTCAAAAGGATAAATTCCCGCTTTCTTAATAGTATTGATACAAATTCTGCTCATGATGTAGAAAATGAGCCAATGAGCTGTCTATTGTTTTTCTTTGTTCTTCATCATTTTATCTTCAATTCATTCCATCTAAACACTCGTGTTTCCGAACCTTTTGCTAAAAGTATCAACATCGAGATAATCGAAAAGGCGAGTTACTTGATATACCGTTATGAATAGAAAAGATAATATAATCTACTGTATTGAGAAAAGTTCCAAATACTGAAGAATATGGATACTTTAAATTGAACTCAGTTTATTAACATAATTGATACAAACCCATGGAAAATTTCACCAAATTTTCAAGATGCTGTTCAAATAAAATCAAATAGTATTATGATGATTACTTTGAAAACTATTGTTCGTTTTTGCTATTTAACATTTTGATCAGTGATCAATAAACTTACTATCCCATTTTGATATCATTATTATTAACTTTATCGCCATTATCTTTCATGATGATCATGTTGGTTCATGAGAATTGAACAAAAAGTAATCTATCATTGACTAACCATGAGAATAGATATTATCATTGAGATGATAAAAGTATTCCTTGAGGCGATATGTACTTTTCAATGGTTGTTATCCTTTCATTCTGCTTATTTATTTATCGCAAGTTCAGTTACTGAAATAATATCATGTAAATTTCCCTTTGATTCTGAATAATGGGAATCAAAATAATGGTTGAAATGAAACAAAAGTCCAGAAATTGTGTTTAGTCATTAAGATTTTCTTTCTCTCTCTTTTGAGATGTTGACATTGTAGATATTTGTTGTTATCATGTAAGCTTTAAATAAACTTTCATGGTTAACTGATTCATCTTCAAGGTAAATATTACATACCGGGTACAAGAACAAGAACCCTCAGCAATCAGAGATGATGGTTGTTGATATATTTGGTGAACCTTTTTTCATCTTTCATCTTTTATCCTCTTGGAACTTGAACAATCAATGGTGAGCCTCAGGGAGTTTTTATGCTATCAACATTGTCTTGAGATAATTGAGGTTATTTAATGTGTATCCTGGAAAAATTGTACAAAAGATTCTTGTGTAAATATAGACAATTAAACTTTTCTGCTTCCCTCATCACCTTATCTGATAATTTCTCCGTTTATTTCAATTCACAGACAAATAATACTATTTGGTAACATGATTGATTTATTAATTATAATCCTAATTATTTTCTGATTCCATGCTAATGAGTTAAATCTCTGATGACTTGATCGCATCTATTTCTTTCATAATCTTGTTCTGATACGTGAGTTTGCTGGGCGATTCTCATAACTAAATCGTGAACTTAGCAGTTAGATTGTTTATCTGTCCAATCATAAACAATGTAATTCTTAAGAACTACAAAGAAGGAATAAAATTCATACCAGAAAATACTCTGAAATATTGATAACAAGTTCGATGAAGTAAAATCTAAGTATTATTAGTATTTGGCTCTGTCTTTTGGATAAACTTTGCTATCTCCAGTAATTATCATTCACTTCAATAACTATCCCATGATAGTATGATTACCACAAAATAGCAGGATCAGAACTTTTTCTATTGATATTAAACAGAAACAAATTTACGATAAGCAATGAAATAGGAAGATTTTCAAAACTCTGAGGAATAGATCAGAGTTTTGCTCTTAAACTCAATTTTGCAATTATCCTTGTAAGAAAAATGATGAAATTCATTGGCCTATCCTGATGATGGTCATCATCATTTATTCAATGGAATTGAGATAAACTTTCAAGCTCATCTATTAACAATTGAATCACTCACTTGCAAGTAGATATCATAATGATAACATTGAAAAGTATTCATTTGATTCACTTTCTGATTCATGGAGGCGATTGTTACACTCGCATCTTCAAATTGAATCAATTTTCGTTTCTTATCTTTTGAATTGTGAGTTACAACTTTATCTTGGAATCAATTTTACATTTAATTTCTATCACCAAATGACCTTCCCATCAATATGATATCACATTATCATTATTGTTGAATTAAATGAGTCTCTAGACGAGTTCAACAAAATGTAAGGCGATTTCTCTTGAAATTCATGGGAACATTGGAAAGTTAATGCTTCTGACTTACATCTAATGGAGATTTTTGAGAAGAAAAATTCTTGGTCTTCATTGTTGTTGTTTTGTCATTTCCTTTGATTGGTTCAGTAACTTTCACTATCAGAAACTTCATGAGAGTGTATTTATACTCATTTAGGATTGGAAATTCATTCAGAGTTTCTCTCTCTCTCTCCTTTTCTTATCATGAATTTAAACCTGAAGATTATTTTTTCATCATGATTATATAATTTCTGATAGAAAGAAAAGTTTTAGAAAAAACAAAATTCTGTGAATAATTTGATGATTATAAAAATGAGGATAATGTTTTGTTCATTAGATTGAGAATAATAATGGAGAAAATGATGATGATGATGATGATATCTTTCTCTACCCACCGGAAGTATAAATTTCTCTTATTCTCTCTTTCTTTTTTTTCATCTTCCTCTTATTTCTTATTTCTCATTTTCAGATTCAATCAACGTTAAAACATAATGATATTAAAATGATGCAGGCTCATGATTATCAAGCTTCATCTTCTGGTGCAAGTAAACTAAATAATGATAACAACAAAGTTAATAACATCAACATGATCCAGAAACAACAATTGTTGATTATCAATTCAATCAAAAATCAAGGCGATAATCATAGCAACGATAATAATGGTTCAGGTAATGTTGATAATGATGATAATAAAGGAAATGGTTGTAACAAGGAGGCGGAAAAGGTTGGTCAACAAGTAAAAGGTGATGAGGATGAAAACCAAACTGGTGATGAGGATAATCAGGTTGATGATAATGAACCTGAGATTGAATCTAAAGGTGAAATGTCTGAAACTTATAAGCAATTGATGGCTTTGGATGATGTTGATTTGGTCAAAAATTCTGAAGACTTTGAATGTCCCATTTGCTTTTTAAATATTCACAAAGAAAAAGGTGAGTTCTAATCAATCGATTGGACCAAATTTACGAGTTTTGATCGTTTTTTTGAAACGAGTTTCACATAACACGTTCTAAAAATTAGCTAACCTTAATTCTTGATCATCTAATGTTAATATTATATCATATGTAATCATCTGAGATACGATATTGATTATATGATTACAGCAAGCAATTCATTTGACATTTGTTGAAAGGATATTTTATCAATATTTCATCACCATGAAATTTTATTAATCTTTCAGGAATCTATGGACTACAATGTTCAATTTAAATTGGCTTAATTAGTTCAACTTCTGGTTGAGTCTTTTTATGTAATTGTAGTTAATTCAGTTATCATTTTATGCAAGTGAATGTATTTAATTGTATGTAATTTGCATCAACTAATTGTATAGCATTTGCATTATTAGTATTACCTTCATGTACAATGATTAATATATTTAATTAGTATCATTAGTCACTAATCTTGGATTATCTTGAGCCATTTCTTGATATCAGCTCTTTGTTTTTTCTTACAATATAATTAATTGGTGATAATCATATAGATTAACATCAATGACAAATGGGACACAATTAGTTGACTTTGATCAAATCTAATCAATGGCCAATAGCGATAATTGTGACTATTAAATCAGATTCCAATCAACTTTCATGCAAAGTTGATTAGTAAATCGTCTGTGTCATTGAATCAACATTAAGATTCATTTAATTTGAAAGCTATTTAATAAATGAAAACCTTTTAAATTGTCACAGTGATTAACTATTGATTGTTAATGATAGACAAGCAATTCATTTTCAACTTTGCCTTAATTGGTTCATTTAATTGTTATACTTGACTATACACTGTATATGTCAACAATCAATGATAAAATTTAAACGTAATAACTGAAAAATCTTAACGGTAGCTAATTGATATAATTAACTAACACTGATAATAATACTTGGAGAGGGATGGAAACAATTAGCCAATTTATGCGAAAAGAAACACAAAATTAAGTAAACATTTAACTGTAGTAATTACATAATATTATAAGTAGAATCATTTTAATAGTAATTAGAATAACGAAAATTAATTTAAATAAACTGATTCCAATGAAATTCAGTCTAATACGATTTTCTTGCTAAATGGAAAACATTTTTTCTCAATACTATTTCATGGTGGAAATTGAATAAATTTTCTTGTTGAATCACATGAAATAAGAATTATGTAAAACAAACTCAGCAGATTCAAATTTCTATAACTTGAATAATATGTTCACATATATTTATTGTATTAATACACCGAATGATAATCAATGTTTACTTAATTCACGGAAAATTCAAGACTCAATTTCATGCATAAACCTTTCGTTGTTTCTATGGTTGAAGTATATTTTTTCTTTCTACCAACATGGTGTTCAGTGTTTCAATTATCATTCTGATTTACATCATGGTAACAATAGCAAAAGAGGAAACATTAAATGAACATTTCATCAATGTCTTGATAATAGAAACCAGAAAAAAATGTCATGTAATTGTGACAGGGAAGCAGATAAACGAGAAAAAGATTCGGAAAATAAATTAAACAAAAAGAAGCTTAAAAATGATCAAAATAATTCCCTTTGGACTCAGTAAATGAACTTTTTAATCGTGTAAACTCAATGTTTTTCTTGTTACTTTTCTCGTTTCAAATTGCCAGGAGTTGTCCTTCGAGACTGTCTTCATATGTTTTGCAGGTAAGAAATGTCTTTGATTAATTAATTATTGATAGCAATTAATTATAACACAAACAAGTACTTTAATTAGTATGTTAATTGTTATTAGTATCAATTCAGAAGTTACTTTGGTTTCTTCATTTTTATGGTCTTCGATTTCATTTGAATTGTTTCTTGTATCCACAGGGAGTGTCTTTGCAATTCAGTCGAGTTTTGTGACGAAGCATTGGTAAAATGTCCTTATCGAAGTGACGATTATTACTGTGATAGTACAATCACTGACCGGGAGATTAAATCGCTGGCTAGTGATGAATTGTACCAAAAACATTTGGCTCGTTCCATGAAGGCTGCGGAATTAAAGAGCGCTAAATCATTTCATTGTAAAACAGCTGATTGTCCAGGTTGGTGTGAATATGATGACAATGTCAATACTTTTCCATGTCCAGTTTGTGGCAAAGTCAACTGTTTAACCTGTCAAGCGATTCACGAGGAAATGAATTGTCGACAATATCAAGACGCACTTGAGTTTGAAGCTGCAGAATCTAATGAAGATGCGAAAAAGACTAAACAGTTTTTAGATGTAAGTTTCGTGCACAATCAATTTATTTTCAACTCCAAGTTTTTACTAAAGATAAAACTTTAGAGCATAATTTGAATATTAATTAAAATCTCCTCGGAACTTGAATAACTTCTCGAACCACTAATCTTCACTCCACTTATATGAATTTTTGTAGTATTTTATAACAACCATTTTCGTAATGTATCGCAAATATATTGTTGTATCTTATAAATTTTTTAAATTCTATGCTATTGATTATACGTAGTTTGAATGAAAAAATGCATTTCCTAGGCCATTTTTACTATTTTTTATTATCTTTGTTAATCTTCGTAATTTTGTCCTGATGCAGATTATTGAGATACAATTGTTTCTACACTCAAATAGTATAAGAAACTTTGCCATAGTCTCAATCGAAAGTGAAAATATCTCGATTATAATCTAATCTGTTATTCACCTTTCCATGCTCACTCAATAAGCAACTAAATACACAAAGTTATAAATCCACTTAAAGTGCATGAGAATTCACAGAACTTATCATATGTCAAAAGGTGAGAACAGGAAAAATGTTTCTGTGAAAATGTTCTGACACTTTTTTGTTGTTGTTTTATTAGACTGAAATACACAAGCTGATAATCAAAACTCCCTGTAGGCTTAAACTCGATGAAAATTGAATTCTCTGAATCAATTGTCTTCCTAAGCTGATATCGAACTTGATATAATATTTTCTTTCTGACCTCAATGCATTTATTACTTTCAAATAGAAGCTGAACTATTTCAGAACTTTTCTCATCTCTTCAAATAATCGAATATCAGAAACAGCAACAAAAGTAAAAGTAAAAGGGTAATCCTATTCAATCAATTTCTTGCTTTACCATGTATTAGAACATGTGAAGTAATGAGTTCATTGTTTTATCTCTTGATAATCTTATCCTAAATTTAATATCAACTGGAACTGAAAAGTAACGATTCTAATGATGATAATATAAAGTAACTAAACAGGATTTCCTGTTTTTTATCATTTCTACTGGTTAACTCCCAATTCTAACTCACTTTGAATGATAATACACCCAGAAATACCTGAAAAATGAATAGTAAGGTTGTATTGTTTTGGTAGTAACCAATACTCTCAATCTCTAATTTTGTTGATCGTCTTTCTATCATTTTTTTGATAATATATTTCTAGAGGCGCTTGGGAATTTCGGCTAAAATTTTATCTTTCAAATTGATTTTTCTTCTTCTCTATCAATCAGTATACAGATCATTCTCATTCTTCTGAGATGAAATAATAGAAACATTTTGTTTTGAATACCCAAATATCAACATGATAGAAACAAGAATCATTATCTTTTCCTGTTCACAATAAGGTAACAACTTAATGATGATAATAAGGGTTTCCTTTTGTAATAAGAATAACATTTTCTTTATGTCGAATTTACTTTGTACTTGTACTATAGATATGGAATTTTTTTATTCTTTTCTCTTTTTCTGATTACCCAAAATTATTCCATAGTCATCAACATGATACAAATCGTTGTGAATCTAAAATCACAACAAATTACTTACAAACTGTTTTACTTAATTCGGTTCGATACTTAGATACTTGGAACTTTAGTATGATAAAATGTAATGATTATGATTCATCAGCAGACCCTCATGATTGCAATAAATTCAGTCAGGGAAAATCCCTAATGGAATCACTTGACTATTCTGAATAACATCGTATCATAGAAATTTGCTTCATCCATCGGTTTCACCTTCTAATACGTTCCCTTAAACATTATCACTGTTTGAATTAATGTTCATACAAGACAATCAATCTCTCATTTTCTTTGTCTTTTTCTCATTATGATCCTTTCAGAATATGCTGGACAAAGGGGAAGCGCTGCGATGCCCGATTTGCTTTGTGATACTAATTAAAAAGTGGGGCTGTGATTGGGTTAAATGTTCGATGTGCCATTCGGAGATATGTTGGGTCACCAAAGGGCCGAGATGGGGACCAGGAGTAAGTTAATTGCTTCTATTGATGACTTGTTCTTTTAATTGGTTATACCCTGAGTTATTCAGATTTCATGGAAAGATATGATTGAAAGGTGGCAATTTAAGTGATTATTTGAGCCAATTATGATTCTACTTAATCTCATCCATGCTTAAACCATGTATTACGAGTGATTGGCAATTAAAAGATTGATAGTTCAGTTAATCCAATTTGTAAACTCGATGTGAGTCTATGATACATGAGACACAATTGCAGTTTTGAGATGAGATCATAATTGGCTTTGAACAATCAATCAAATTTTGATTAGTCTTTTTTGTCAATTGACATTCAATTAATTTTGGTAAAATTAAGTTGAAAATTGAATTGAAACAAAAAAGTTTCTTAAACTTTCAAAAGATATCATAAAAATGTTACCAGTTCCTCGCTTTTAATATTGTGATCGTTTAATCAATATGAATAGTCAATAATCTGAACTTATCTCGGTGAAAAATTGAAACCTAAATTATTACGATTCTCTATTAATAGTCTGGTGAGTTGAGAAACAATGGAACTTGTTGGTAGCCCTTAATATCGCAATTTTCAGTTGAAAATGATTGGCTGAAGATCACAAGGAAAAGATGAACCTCAAGATTCACTTTCTCGAACTAATTTACAGTTAATGGTTTAGAGTAGATTGTTTCATTTGATTGAGTTCTCATCCTCCATCTTCACGGATTCCTTTATTAACATCATGATAATTTCACTAAGGTGCACTTCTCTCATCTATTTGGGTGTTTTCAGGTTTTATCTTGGACAAAAATCTGACCAAATTGAGGAAATAAAACTTTTTCAATCTAAAATAACATCAGAAAAAAAGATTTAAGTTATGTTTCCATCTTCCCTTGAGTCTTTCGCTTCATGGTCATCATGTAATATCAAAAATGACCCTGAGTTTATCATCCACATTGACATACATTTTGCTGACCAATAATAATACAGAATCAAGGTGTGTTACAATGTTTCTATGAGGATGAATTTTATCGTAAAAGAATCAGATAAACTCATTGAGTTGAAATAATATTAAAAGCAAATTTCTCATGACATGATCATAATATTAACACACTAGTGGTGATTTGATATCAATAAATTGTCACTTTAATCATTTGGAAAATTCATGATGTTCTGAATCAATAAAAGAAAATTTCTGTAAAATTCTCAAATTCTGTCATTTTGTTGTCATTAATGTCCATCCAAAACTTTGAACATGACAAAGAACTGATATCATCGATCTCGGTCACTTTTCATCACGATAAACATCCTTCATGTTCAAATAATCATGATGAGCAAGTGATTATCAAGCAATTCATCAGTTCAACGTATCAGTTTGAATAGTGAATAAATTTCATCATGTTTACATCATGATTGCATCTGAGAAAATGAAAAAGAAGAAAAATTACAAATGTATTCTCATGGATTGAAAAAAGTTCCAACTTAGAATTTTGATTTTCTCAACCAATTCTGGTTCATCTTATCCTTGAACTGTGACTGGAATTTATTTAATTTGCTTATCTAGGATTCTAGTCAATCATGAAAACAGCATTTAATAACATGTAACTCTATGTACTCATCAGACTCTGAGTTGCAGAATCAGAATAATACATTCTAACAGATTTTCTTCTCATGATTTATCTGAAACTCTGCTCGTTTTCAGATGCAAAAATTCAAATAACAATTTTTTCATTGAATAATAATGACGATAAACTCAACATATTCACCATTCAAATTGAAATAAAGATAAATAGGATATTAAGCCAATTCCTGGAAAATGGATAAACTTGAGGAATGAATTGTCAGATTAGGATTTGTTGATTATAAATTATTTCACTGTGAATGTGATGTGAGGGACAAGTGAATAAAAATAGGGCACCAATAAATTGGATTATTTGAAAGATATTGACGTGCTGTTGGAAAAATTTGTAGAAACACTGTTCCGTATTAGATTGATAATTAAGGATAAAAGTTCCATTAGAATCATGAAAAAGCTGAACAAAGAAAATGATTTTGAAATTTGATATAAAATAACAAAGGAAACCACTGCAATCTTAGAGGATTCGTATTTTAAATCGAGTAGATTTGCACTTAAGGTTTAAAAAATATTCCTGAGAATTGAGAAAGTTTCTGTAATTTACACCAAAGTCAATCACTCAGATTACGATTCCACCAAAAATGGATTACGTATTTCTATTTAACAAAATCTCTCGGCTCTGAATCATGAATTATTCTATTCCAGTCCGAGTGGGCGAGTTGTTACAACGCTGAAAATTTGCTAGAACATTTCGACAGAGCTCCAAGTGTTAAAACCAAGCATTTCTAACCCTTCTAATCTACCTAATTGTCTAGAAGGTCATCGAAGTTTTCAGATTAGTTCATAGGTAAATATTTTGTTTCGAAACATTTCCATCAAATAATAAAAAAATCTGATAAACTGGATAACAAATAAGCTCATATTTTACTGAATTCAGAGAAATAACAGTCAATCGATTCAGATTATGATGGGGATGCGCGTAAAGAGTAGCGATTAATTTGCTCTAATTAAGTAAATATGCTTCTTGAAATAAACGATCACAGCAGAAACGGAAATGAGTAAACCAAAAAGAGAGAATTCATTTCCTTCATATTTAATAACGTTTATTTTTCCATTGAAGTTGATTGAAATTTCTTCTACATGAGGTCATGTAAATTTTCAATCATTTGAGTTAATAATTGAGAGAATCTGGCAATTAATTGAATTACAATTTAGATGATCTCAGATGGTTCAGTCTTATTTAATTAATCAGATTAAAGGTTAGCTCTAACATGTTAAATTAATGAAAATGATCAATTTAGATCCATAATCGCACCCGAGTAAATGCAAAAATTAATTTTTTTTAGTTGGAACTATGTATCTTGTACTGAAAATACTGAGATCATATAGACGACATATTTTAAACAGGCTAAGGATAAATCGTTACAACGATTCACTTCATGATGTATCTACAATTCATCATGCATGTTTTATTGAAAAATTGCAAGAAACGGAAGAAGATAATGCATAGATGTATTATGAAAATATTTGTTATTTGTCCGATATAAGAAAAGTTTTTCTAATTGTTGTTTAAATTTTATTAAATTTTATTATTTATTTCGGCAAAAAATTAATTATTGAAATCATTCCATTTTTATATCCCGACGATTCTGGAGATAAAAATAAAACACTTTCAGCTACATCGTCGCTATAAACAAATTTTTGTGTTGGGATAATTTGAATAATCTTATAAATATGATTGATATATAAGTGCTTGATATTTCCTACATTTTTTACACTGAATCTTTGATGATTTATCATCTGGATTTTAAATACAACTTTTGTATCGTTAATGAGATACATCGCCGATACTCTGGCAAACGAATCAGTTTCCTTGGCCATTTTGACATAAGAATCACAATTTCTCAACCCAGTCTGAGAATCATTAATATTCAAATGTATATCTCGATTATTGAAAACTTTTAGCGGCTGTATCGTTGATATATCGATACCGTTGATTTGTGATGACAATTTTTTTAACGTTTGTGTATCGACCAATTTGTTTTTCAATATTGTCCATGTAGATTTATCCTTGATATTGTTGGCCCATTTGATAAAATCAATCAATGAATTATCAGATTTTTTAATGAGATTTTTTTCTTTTGCAAATCTTAGCAGATTCATCGGCATTATAGCCTTTTCTGCTATTTGTTGCATAGTTCGATATCCGGTCTTTATCGTTCTTTTCAAGTTTCCATAAAAACTTTCCGCGTGATATGCCGAATATCTTGAAAGTGGACCAAGTTCATCCACGACATCAGGAAGATGTATAAGCAAATGTTCATTAGATCTCATTGCTTCTTTTGTAAAAATCACGATAAAACGATTCTGGAACTCCTCGATATATCTTCGAGATATCAGAATATCTTTTCTTTTTATGTTATCACAATAAAGAGGATAGATTCCCGCTATATACAGAGAAAATAGATCAAGAAGCTTTTTGTCGAGTAATTCATGCAAAACTGGTAAACTATAAAAGAAAATAAACAAGAAATAATCTTTTGCTTTCCATTGTTTCAAATTGGATATTAACATGGGAATATCTTTGATTTTTGTACATGGTCTGATAGAAGCTAATCGCTTATCTATCGCTGATATATCTCGATAATGAGAAAATTCTTTATCTCTACTATCATAGCCAAAGATGTAATTTAAGAGCTTTTTAGAAACACCTTCATCCACAGCATGCATCGCATCTATCGGAAACCCTTTGATTATATCAAAATCATGAATGTTCAACAAGGCACTTTCTTTGTCAATTCCATGAGTTAGCATATGATCAGGTTGCGATATAGCATCGACATGTTTTTCATGTGATCTCATTTTCAGTCGATTATATTTTTCGTAAGGGTAGTATCGGTTTATGGGACTATTCACTTGGAGTGTTTTTATAAGACATTTAGAGCAGCCTAATAGGGAATTGTGACCTTTGATTCCCATAGCCCAAGATTTAGCAGGAGTATCAGCAACAATTGCCAATATGTTTATTCGTGATTTACGAATGTCTCCAGATACATCATCGATATATTCAACACCATCAATATTAATTTGATGAATTTGTGATATGAATGGCTTTATGAAATCGTTGAATGAAGGCTTTTGTTTTCCAGACCAAATAAGAAGTGTGATAGGCAATTTGAATCTTATTTGAAGTGGTAACTCGTTGATATATCCTATCAGAACCCAAAATGATTTTCGACCCCGACAACCAATCGGAACACCATCCAAAGCTAGCGTTAGTGATATTTGACTTTCCATAACCTTAGATTTATAAAGAGAACCATCCGATATATCATTCATATTGCTGGTCGATTCCTGAGATACAGTTGTGTATGGTAATAAACATTCGAGTTGTTGTTTCAAATTTATGCTCAATATAAATTTTTCTCGTTTGATTGCAACA